TCCACGTCCCTGCACTCTCCTCCATACTTGGACCTCATGATACGTTGGACTTATCATTATGCCCAGTCAGAGCTCTCAAAGTCTATTTACAACGATCCAAAACGAGGCGACGAAAACTCAAGAGATTATTCATCCCTCTATCTACGGCGACACAGACCGAAGTCTCTCGCACTACGATTTCCATATGGACAAGAACTGTCATACTACGAGCCTACAAGGCTGCAGGACTCGACCCTCCAAGAGCATCTAATCCTCACGAAATCAGAGCACTGGCATCAACACTCGCTCTACATGGAAATTGCTCATTCAATACCATCATGGAGGGCTGTTTTTGGAGATTGGACATGGTGTTTGCTAACCACTACCTGAGAGATATCGCCACCGAGGACGTCTCAGGCATTCACCATTTCGGTCCCTTTGTCCTCGCACAGCAGTTGACAGTTCCTCATAGACGGTGAGACATAGTCTCACTATATTACTTACATAATTATCAGCTTACAACTCTACAGAGTTTTTGCTTAGTCTATATATATAACTTAAGTCTATTTTAAGTCTTAAGACCAGTACTAATTATTTGTACAGTTGGGTTGCTTCTCCACTTTGGAGTAGCATTATTTCTATGTCATTTTAATATTTATACATACCCCATCCATGGCATCTGGTAGTACTATGTATGATAGCAGCAGAAATTAATTTATTTACAGTGCCATTATGAAGTTCCCATATGGGTTATTATACGTAAAGTCACTAATTAAATCCAAAGTATCTTTTCCCACCTCCGGTTCCGTCGGATTCTACAAACAAATGGAATTTTCTGAATAAAATTGATATGTTATACTTATCCTGACTCATGAGGTAAGCCCTCCCATCCTCCCCACATGACACTTTGGATTTCCCTGCAATATTCAAGTGTCGGGGTCGTTATAAGGAGAGTGTGAAGCATGTGGCAAACGGCAACGCCGTCTTTCCCGCCAGTGGGAGGCAAAGAGGGGCAACACTTGGTGAGTAGTGATTAGTGATTTTACGCATGTTTCAATTGAAGGGAGCTTCAATAAGGAGATACAAGTGTTCCACTATGTTCGCAAGAAGAAGAAGACAAGCAAAAGAGCACGAGTCAGGATAAGTATAAAATATCAATTTTATTCAGAAAATTACATTTTTCTTCAACTTCCAAATCAAGAGGAAACAATATACGAAATTTCAAGGATATACAAAGAATTCAAACACGATAGAATAGTTTGAATTTACTTTTTAGGTATTATTACGTTGTTGTGTTTCATATAATGCCTTGAGCAAGCACTAGTTGCCTGGATATGTGCGCTATAGAAATATCGTATAACATGATACCTAATCGAATATAAAGTGATAAGTCACGCCTTTGCATCGAATATAATACATGTCAGTGTTATTACAACAATGAAATCTTTTACTACGTTTGTCACAAAACACAGTAAGTTGGTCATTCAAAACCTTCTTAGACACAGACCCAAGTAATATCATAAGCTATTACATGTAAACCATACAAAGGTATTTCAAGTTTTTTTGTAAAACGTTTGTATTTGATCTGTGTAATTATCAAATCCGGTGCAATTATCACGTGTATCAATCAACTCAGTCTCTATTGATCCATCATCAATAAATGCTGAATAGTTACGGTATCGATACACATGCGTATAATCAATCATATTACAGTAATGAGATAATTGAAGACCTCATTCGACCTTGAAATAACAGCCTCCGGTAGAATGCATGTGTAGTTACCCCCTTGTTGAAAGGTTTGTCCTGTGGCAAGTGTAAAATAAACAGATGCGATATTATATCATTGGACAACCTGCTTTATGGAGTCACGCTCCTCTTTGTAATGTTTATGCATGCATGCACATCTGTAATCTTATGAACCTCGTTTACATTCAGTATAAATATACGCACGCCCATATTCATAAATATTTGGGGGGATTAAACTGCAAGTTTCTACATTATAATAATTCAGTATCGTGTCACTTTTTGAATTCTATAATACGTGTGCTTTAATTTGGATATTCATTCATATCAAGGTGAAGATTATATTTACACATACAGCAAACCATTAAGTTTTATGTACTGGTTGTGTGCGTAATGTATATGAAAATAAATACTAGCTCAACTCAATGGTTGGATTTCAATCACTTTGTTTTACTTATCGAAAAACACTAAAATGTGTTTTCGATCTCTTAGATCTATCTACTCCTATTTGTCTTAGGTGTATATTTCATAGATCGTTACGATTAAGTATGTTTACAATACACAAACTGTTACATGATAGCTTGAGTTGTTAAAGCCGAAACCCAGCATATCGACTGGTCAACGGTATAGCCAATAAGCAATCTATATCCAGCTGTTGAGTGACCAAACGTGGTCTTCAGAAATTTCGCCCACACCCCATCACCTGTCCCTTCCTCTGTGACAGGTATCTCATGATACGATTGGTCATAGACAACAAACGATCAGCCATTATATTGAACAACTGAGATTCCACACGTACTATTGGGACATTTGATGATGCCCTATCAAGTGACTCTTTGTTTTACGTTTATACAAGGAATCTGTATTATACAATTTTTATATGTATGTTCGTATGGTAACGTATGTCTTTGCATTAAATCTAGATGAAACAAAGTTATGAATGTGCTCTTTGTTAGTCACAGACTAGCGTAATAGTACTTTCCTTGAAATATTCAGTATACACTAGAAATCTATCGGCAAAAACGCTAATATCGTAGAAGATTATAAAGCATGTATGTAAATTACAGTATGTCATTGTGATAGATATTTTGTAAAATTAAACCTCACACAATGAATATAAGAGAAAGGATTTGTTCATGTATGTTTCATCTCTTACATACAAGGAATACATACATATGTTGATAAAACATAAATGTACAAGCTGCCAAAGGTCTACAAGAGAAACTTGCAATAAACTTACATAAACGTTGCCATACATAATAATAAATAATAATAATAGTGGGTATTTGTAACTGCGCCTACATCCGTGCATTCAATGCTCGCTCAAGGCGCTACAAAAGGAGTAAGTCTATGTACGATGTTGACACGAGATTACAAATAGTTGTAGTTAAAAGGGAAGAAACGATCTAAGAGAAGGCTCTGGAGAAGTAATAGGTTTTTAGAAGGGACTTGAAAGAGTTCATACATGATATGTATTCACACCTGCTTTCCTTTGTAACTTGTATCTTTACGACACAATTAAACAATCAGAGCTTGATTGTACGACTAGACAGTTTCCTGTCATCCCCGAAACCTGCCAGGGAAATCAGGTGTGAATAGCACTAATTAGCTTTGCAACAGTGAGCCGGGCAATCAGCGAGGGGTTCCAGGTGTTGAGTAGTGAAGTGTCTCTCGGGCTTAATGAGTTAAGGGTTAAGATAAGTTTAAGCATGGAATTTTACTGTTCAAAGGAGTTTTGATGTAGTAGCATAAAAGTCTCTAGTAACGGTTTGGACAAATAATAGTGACGGTCTGGACATATCTTTAATAAATTTCTATTTTAAAGAATATGTTCCATGGTGTGATAATAATTTTCTGTTTACTTATCTATCTGCTTTAATATGGAACAATTTTTTATGGATAACAACTTCTTTATTTCGTGAGTGCAACGTTTCGATACAGATTCTTGTACCGTTGTCAAGCAAGAGTGATAGAGATGCTTGACAACGGTACAAGAATCTGTATCGAAACGTCGCACTCACGAAATAAAGTTGTTATCCATAAAAACTTGTTCCATATTGTACGTCTCAACTTCTAAAATGCCACTCAAACAAGTTATCTGCTTTAAATAATAAAAACCAAAATAAATTTAATACGTTAAGTTTCTATTTTCTATAAGATCTGTAGTCTTTATAAATTAAAGGTAACAGTTAGGACATCTATGGTAATAGTTTGGACAAAATGTAGTAACGGTAAACAACTTTCAGTATTCCAACCTTTAAAGTTTTTTTGGGTGTAAACTGTTTTAACTTTAACTGTGAGATATGTAAGGCTACCATTTACTTTGAATATTTGCTAGGTGCTAATATGTTAACATGTGTTACCATCTCACGATTAACAAAAACTAAAGCTATCCGAGTGAATGAAAAAAGTATATTTCGTGGAGACTAATATTGCACAATAATATCAACAGCAAAATGACTTCTGTGCAGTGGCCTGTGTAGCATGACCATGTGTACAGTGTCATAGTTGTTGCAGTACCTTTCAGAATTTAATCTTTTCCAACATTTTAGAGGGATAACATTTGTTTGTTACACTGATGTCCTGACCGTTACCAATAATGTCACAACCGTTACTATTCATTCAATTTTCGTTCCCCGATTGCACTCTTCTTTAGATTATAAGTGATTTTCAACCTAGACAGGTATGTTTTTCTATTCTATAGAAGCTACAGTTTGTGTTTATTCAAAAGCCTAAATTCATTCACAAGTTTCATATTGATATAACAAATGTCCAAACCGTTACCACAGCATGGAAGAAAACATGTCAAATTTGTTACAAGTTCCAATTTCTAATACACATTTCACTGTCTGTCCAAAATAGGGTTAGCAATTGAAGTAAATGATATCATTTTTTCCTTTCATGTTACCTGTTTCTATGTTGAATTAAATTTTTTAAGGTTTATGTCCAGCCTGTTACCATTCCTGTCCAAACCGTTACCACTATTGGTTAAACTTGTATGAACATACCCAGCTATGACAGGATACTAGCGTGCTGTCTGTATTGAAAATGTCATTTTTGACTATGACTTTAAAAATGTTCATCTCTCACATTAGGCATTTTCTGTTGTTTTCATTATCATTATTAATTTGATATGCAACAAGTATGTAGTATGATTCAGGGCACTTTCCGATGTTTTATGTAGCTATGACCTTTGTCTAATGAGTAACCCTTTACTGCATTTTCAGCATGGAGGCTGAAATGCAGGGGTGATCTCAGCTATGATTTTGTTTCCTCAGGTTCTCCTCGACTAGATGAAACAGTGTCCAATCAACTTAAGTACGCCTCCAGGCAGGGTGGTGACGTGAATGTGTCTGTGTCAGTCCTGGCCTATCCCCTTCCTACACTCACCTGGAGTAGATCCAACACCATCAGCCAGAACCTCACTGGTTCCTCCATCCCTGTCTCAGACATCTCAGTCACTGCCAGACTACACCTTGCTAACCTCCAGGAACAGGACTTTGGGGACTACAGTCTTGCAGTGGATAATGGTGTAGGCGGGTTTGGGGCATGGACACTCAGCATTGTATCTGAAGGTAAGTGTCACTCACTGTAGACAATGGTGAAGGTAAGACAGTCAGCACATAGTACAGTGGCTTAAACTGATGGGTTTAGCTGACATGACTGTCACTGTTTATATGTACAGAATTTGGAAAAGTATGAAATATGCAACAACCTGGGGCCCCTTCGCTCACAATGGCAAGCACCAGTGGGCGGAACTCATATACATGCTAAGACGGATCAATTGTCAGGTCGGTGCTCAACTTATCCTTGTTTGCCAGTAATGGCCTGATATTATTGCTATATCGGTTTTAATTTTGATAGTTGTATTTTGTTTTTATTCATATCACAGATTCATTCCACTTCCTGTATTTCAACCGTGAAGTTCTCCGAGACAAATAACATGCACTAGTTCACATTTAGGGAGTGTGTGTGAAATATGATTCACAATCTATAAAATGCCTAGATATTTCAGTTGTTTAATAAATTCACTTCAAGACAGATCATAGACTTTTTTATGCAGTTCAAATTGCACAAAAAATTAATAATAAATTAATTATGCTAGGATTATACGGAAAAAATACAAAACATACATGACTTCGTTTTGTTTCAGTCCTAACATTTTTTACCACTGGCAGATGAAGTTACCAGTAAACTTCAAAATGGTTTAATTTTTTATCCCCCGCAACGCGTTTTGCGGTGGGTATTAAAATGGACTCCGTCCATCCGTCCGTCTGTGCACATTTGTTTTTTCCGGAGCAGAACTCTAAAACCGTTCAATATTTCTTCACCAAACTTGGCACATACATAGATCTGCTGGTGTACTGGTGCCTTTTGGTAGTTTTGGAATTCTGAATAAAACATTTTTGGCGTTTCCATGGCAACAAGTTCGACTTAGAATGAAATTTGTGGTAGTGCTCTTTTCCGGAGCAGAACTCTAAAATTGTTCAATATTTCTTCACCAAACTTGGCACATACATAGATCTTGTGGTGTACTGGTGCTTTTTGGTAGTTTTGGAATTCTGAATAAAATATTTTTGGCGTTTCCATGGCAACAAGTTTTGACTTAGCCTGAAATTTGTGGTAGTACATTTTCAGGAGCTGAACTCTAAAACCGTTCACTATTTCGTCACCAAACTTGGCAAATAGATAGATCTGGTGGTGTACTTGTGCCTTTTGGTAGTTTTGGAATTCTGAATAAAATATTTTTGGCTTTTCCTTGGCAACAAGTTTGACATAGACTGAAATTGGTGATAGTGCTCCTTTCTGGAGCAGAACTTAAAAACCTTTCAATACTCTCCTTCCACTTTTCTATATATACACCTAAATATTTGACATAATCATAACTCGTAGACATAATCATGAAGAGTATTTTGCCATTGCGGGGGATATTTGTCTTCTTGTTATCATGATAATGAAGATGGAAACATTAATGGGTACAAAAGAAGACTACATTATCTAATTAATACCAAGATGAAACTTTATTTCAACCTTGTTGGGCAATGTAATGATACCACAGGCTCTCATGTCTTTGCGAGGATTAAAGATTTTATAAATTATATACAAATTTGGAGATAACCCCCAACTCGAAATGCTTCACAGTTTAATACATTATGACAAGGCCGGACACGATTTTGACCCTCAACTAAACGATCTTGACACAAATGGCTGACGATATATCCGCACAAAACAGGGGTGTGGTCGAAGCAAGCCCTCTGGTTGGTTGATGTATGTTAAAGAGACATTTACAAATGATGCTTTCTTTTGAGATGACATTGCCAGAAAAAAAATCTGACATTTCTTCCAATCAATCAGTCGATGAAAGTAAAAATTCCCCAGAATTTATACAGAATGTGGAGATTTAGCAGCGTTGACCAACCAGAGGGCTTGCTTCGACCACACCCCCGTTTTGTGCGGATATATTGTCAGCCAATTGTGTCAAGATTGTTTAGTTGAGTGTCAAATTCGGGTTTCAATCGACTTGCAGAAATAACAACAAAGAGCTGGTAGGTGTCATGAGCGGTGCTCGACAGGCCAATCATCCATGATTATGTTTATATTAAGTTTTCATCGATTGCATGTGATGGTAGCATAGCGATCGGCAAAGCAGTCAGCTGGGGTGCACCAAAGTGTCTGGTCTTGTCATAATGTATTGTACTGTGAAGCATTTCGAGTCGGGGGTCATCTCAAAAGCAATAGTTTTGTAATCATTAATCCTCGCAAAGACACAAGGGCCCGTGCCTCATACTACAGAGATTGCTACCTTGTCAAGAATTCTGGGATATCATCCAAGTAGTCGAGGGAGAAAAACAATAAAAAGGTAACAACCAGCCCACGGAAATTGCATCAGAGTCCCTTTAAATCTAAGCATCATTTGCCATGTTTGCAAATTTCAAATTCAGGAATATGCAGTTTTTGTCTGATTGAGCAGAAGTCGTGAAGTTGGCTGGCATGAAGGAGGGTGATGATATCAGAAAAAATCTGTAATGTGACTGCTACCTGAAAACCTTTTCAACCTTATGTAAACCAAAAAGAAATGTGATTATAATGTTTGATGATTATATTTTAGTGCTTATTTGCAATAAACTATCAGTTGGTTCTTTATACTTATATCCATTAGATCCGGGTTAGAATTGATCTTCACTAACCCATGCTTGTCGTAACAGGATCGGGTGGTCAGGCTCACTGACTTGGTTGACACGTCTTCGGTTCCAAAGTGCATAGATCGATGCTCATGCTGTTGATCACTGGATTTTCTGGCTCAGATTTGATTATTTACAGACCGCTGCCATATAGCTGGAATAATGCTTAGAGCGGCGTAAGACTGAACTCACTCACTCCCTCCTTTATACTAATTGTTTTAACAGAACTGTATACATGCCAAAATCTTAAATCTACAGTCAATTTTCTCCAGGACCACCAAGTACCCCAACAAACGTCAGTGTCTCCCCAGAAGGCCCCTTCACTCTACATGTTTCCTGGAAGGAGGAGTTCAATGGTGGAGCTAATCAGACATTCACTGTAGAGTACAGCACAGACAAGAAGGACTGGAAGACAGCAGGGAGTCATACGGAGACAGGGAGTGGGAATTATATGACATCACCCATCAATGATCTCAACTCTGACACACTGTACTATGTGAGGATTGTCGCCAGGAACAAGTTTGGAAACAGCAGCTACACTGAACATGTGACTGGACGTACAGAGAAGAAAGTTATACGTAAGCTTAGCAAAGTTTTCTGTGTAATGAAAATGGTTCTTTTCTCTTACAAGGAGCTTAAAAGAGTTAAGTTCATATGTCATATCAGTGAGGGGTCATGGAAGGTTCAAAATAGAAAGGCATGATTTAACTGAAACATGTGGCAACCTGAAGGGAGCGATAGGGAAGCATAGTTAATTTTTGTATGTATTTTGAATTTGGTAATTTCCAGAAGTGGTAACGGCAGCTGAACTATGGGGTGGTTTGGTTGGTATTTGTTTTTTTGAGTTTATAAATGTGTTTTGGTTGTTTTCTTATATTAGTTTGTGGGATTATGTGAGACCAAGAATGCCAGTTTTTTTAAGAAATATACCAAAGGCTTTGATGGTCTGTGTGTTATTTAGTGGACCTATGAGTGTTTGTAGTGTTAGGTGTGTGTTAGTGTCCAGGGAACCCTGGAGCACCATTCTGTGTTGTTGGTAGTGTATGCAGTGTGGTAGGACATGTTTCTGTTTTGTCGCAGTGTACACATTTGTGAATTTGGTGTTTTATATATCATGTAGATGGGAATTCAATTTTGTATGACCTGTTAATAATTTGGTTATCTCACATGCAAAAGTTTTAGATTTATGATAGTTTTTTTAAGTTTTTAGAGGGACAGTTGAATAGATTTTGTTATTTTAGTTTAGAATTTGAATATTGGTACTTAATTTGCCTCCTTTGGACGATTTTTATTCCCCCAGCATGTAATTCATGGGGACATAGTGAATACCTTGTCTGTCTGTCCAACCTTCCTTCCATCCATAATTATTTTGTTTCCATAGCATAACTAAAAAACTGCTCACTATCAACCAAACTTTGCAGATGTTTCAAATAGATCCTGAAGTGGTGCTTTTTGCTTTTTGTAGATTTTGTAGATTTTTTATTTTCCTTGATTTTCATTGAAACCAAGGACAGAAGTAGTGCCTTTTAATATTTAGGAATGTTAAGAAAATGAATTTGCTTCCTGTTTCCATGGCAACAGGTTTGACTTTGACTCAGGGCCATATCTCTTGTGTGTTTGTCCGGACTATATATCAAAAGATTAATAAGTATTCTTTCATGAAACTGCTCAAGCAAAAGCCAGGTTGTCAATTGCTACTTTTTGCTATTAGAGATTTTTATGCCCCCGCCATATATGGCAGGGGCATATAGGGTTACTCTCGGTGTCCGTCCATCCGAAACAGGGAATGTATTCTATCCACTTCTCTACCATAACCGCTCTGTGGAATTAACTTATACATGGGATTTCTTGGGACTCTAATGGTGTGCATCTCATATTTTGTTTTATTATTTTATTGGTTTATTTTGTAAGTTTAGAAACATTTGAACTTAGGTACATTTTGCTGAATTTCTCTATGATGATAGTGTAATAGGGGATGAAGTCTATCCACTTCTTCACAAAAACTGCTCAACAGAATTGAATAAACTTCTACATGTCTTTTGTAGGGACTCTAAAGGTGTGCATTTCATAATTTTTTAATGCAATTTCTTAATTTTGTCACTTTACAGATGTTTGAACTTAGTTGAATTTTGTTCTATTCAGTCAGTGTTGGTTCCATCCAACAGGGGGGTGTACGTTATCCACTTCTCCTCAAAAACTACTTTATGGAATTCATTTAGATTACACATGTGCTTTATAGGGAGTCTAAAGGCGTGCATCTCATATTTTGATTTTGTATTTTATTTATTTTTCCAATTTTAATGCCGTTTGAACTTAGATAAATTTTGTTGAATTTCCCTCTGAATATAGTGTTATAGGGGATGAAGTCTATCCACTTCTCCTCAAAAGCTGCTCAACAGAATTGATTGAGCTTCTACGTGTGTTTTATTGGGACTCTAATGGTGTGTATCTCATACCTTGTTCGTCCAATTTCTTACTTTTGTCACTTCTACAGATGTTTGAACTTAGTTGAATTTGGTCCCATACAACACAGGATGTACTTTATCCACTTCTCAAAAACCACTGCCCAAAACTCATTTAGCTTACATATGTCTTTTATAGAGACTCTAAAGGTGTGCATCTCATATTTTGTTTTTGTATTTCATAGTTTTTTTTCTATGTTTAGAGACATTTGAACTTAGATAAATTGTGTTGAATTTCTCTCTCTAGACTTACAGTTTTAAAATGGGATTGGGTGAATTTTGATTTGGTGGAGAAGTGAGTTTCTTGAACGCATATGATGTGAGGGCTATTTATTCCCAGTTTAGTTTCAAGTGACCCGTGAAGATCCGGGGTAGAGTAGGTCTTCAGTAACCCATGCTTGTCGTAAGTGGCGACTAACAGGATCGGGTGGTCAGGGTCCGAGGCTCGCTGACTTGGTTGACACAAGTCATCGGTTCCCAATTGCGAAAATCGATGCTCATGCTGTTGATCACTGGATGGTCTTGTCCAGACTCAATTATTTACAGACCGCTGCCATATAGCTGGAATATTGCTGAGTGCTGCATAAAACTTAACTCACTCACTCACTTAGTTTCAAGTTAGTGGCCATTGGGGCCCAAATCATTTGCATTCCATGTAAAATATGGAGCCTTGCCATTAATTGAGTATGGATAAGATTTAGGATATATTTAATTATGAGAGCACAGGTCGATCTTACATAAGCAAAATTTAAGAAATCTGAAATTAACGAACTAATCTGCATACAAAAATACAATCAATTAAGACACTCTTATTATACGGACAAATCATCTTCACATATTGATCCAAGGATGTGGTGCAGTTGCTAGTTCTACTACCATTATGTCCAGAAAAATCTCATCAAGATTACTAGATAACAGTTAAATTTTACATCCAATGCACATGCCATGTTATCTCTTAAATATATCAATAAACAGTCTAAATATTAGCAATACATAATATTTTCAGTTTCTCTTTCTTGCTTTCATATTATAAATATGTCAAATAAACATCCCTTTTCAGTAGAAATTCTCAAATAACAAAATGATCTTGCTTCTGGCAAATATGACATTGTGTCTTGGTTGGTTACCATTTTGGAATTTAGGGTAACACAGTGGCTGATTCTTATCTGCGACTAAAAACCGGTTATTAGAAGTTATATTCTAATGGAAATGAAGTGGTACACGCAAGTTGGTATCAATAGATTAAATGCAATAAAACCCTATATTTTTTACACCTACTTGGGCTGTCAGTCTAAATATGAAGAGGTCATCATAAGATGATGCTGTATTGGCAATAGCAATTAGTAAATGGGCGGATCCTCTGTATTGTATCCCTTGTCATGAGAGAATCAAAGTGAAGCATGTCCTGCTTGACTGTGTCATTTTATTTCCATCATGAGGGATCAATATTTTCTACAGGAAGTAGAATTAATTGATAAATTTTGATGTAATATTACCGGCATATAAATTGTAGGGATGTCATGATACAGTTGCCTGACAATAATAATAACCGGAAGCTGGCAGGGGTAATGGAGGCGAAGAACGATTTGACATGCCGTGAGTGGCGCTTAAAATGTTGAATTAAATATACTGTACGTGAGTAATTAGTAAATATGAGGTTGGGAATCTGAGAGCACAACTCTGTGAGGAAACGGGTCTCTACTTTTGATGGTGGCGATATTTTATTTTGATATTAAAAATATTTTTCAAACCGAATCGAGGGAAGCATGTTGCCAACCTAGCATATGGAAAGACTGGTCATTTTCCCTTTGTTGCACAACCCTATTTGCGCTACAATTTGCCTGTGCTTCAAGTGATAGCTAAATTTGACCACAATCACCAACACCTGAAAGGATGGTGTAAATCCAGATAGAGTCCATGCAGGTACAAAAGTACTGTAAATCCCCATGGTCCCTAGTATGATGATCTACCTTCAGCTGTTGGTGATCTGTAGCCTGTTTTTATAATGACGTGTCTTCACTTGTGACATCATTTTAAACTTACATGCAAGTTTTAAATCTCTATATGTGATATTGTAGATTTCAGCTGTCCTCTGTGGTAGGGCTGGATATTGCCCTGATTTTCATATTGCGATATATTGCAATAACTTAAGAGATATTGCAATACATATTGTGATATATTGTCTGGAAGGTTTCTGCCCAAGTGCGTACATAATAAATTCATAAAGCAATCTGAGTGCAACATCATCTTATTAGTTGCTGTTACACCATACTTTCAGGCTCCCCGTCCACATCGTGTATGGCTGTATGCCACTGGTTTAGAGATAAATGGCATGATAAAGAGCTTTAATGTGAAATATTTAATTGAAGTATTGCAACAAAGTTTTGCGAACATAATGATAAAGGTAATAGTATAACTTGATTTTCATGGTCAGGGTTGTTTGCTTCAACAGAATGCTCTTCAATGCAGGATGCAATTATTGTTACTGCTTGTCAGTGATTAATTCAGTTTCAACTCCAATATAAACATGTGTTAACATGAACTATGGCAAAATGAAACAAAAACATGACTTAGGTGAACTACTTTGACTAAGATCCTTGACTAGAATGTCATTATACAGTCCTACAAAATTTATAGGTCTTAGGTCTTTATTATACATTGATAGCATATGTCCCATTATGAAACAAACAAACATAATAAAATAATTTGAATTGTGAAATGGTCACTCAGAGCCAGAGGCTCTACTAATAAGTCCAAATAAAACAGTGGCCCATTTGAGGCCACTGAATTCCTCCCAAATGTCACATATGAAACCATGGAAACCCACAAAACTTTGTAGAATTGGCTCTTTTGGAGCCACTTAAAAATATACTTCTACTTGTAAAGTGTTACATGAAACCAACAGAAACAAGTATATTTGGCTCTTTTAGAAGACATATTGTTGCCCTGGAAGTCAAGGGCATATAAATTCAAAGGGGGGCTAACTCTGGGTGACCTAATATATTGCAGAATCTGAACCATATCGTAATAATCGTATCGCGAGATAGTGTACTGGTATATACCGGTTTACCAGTAATATTGCACAGCCCTACTCGGTGGACAGGTATTTGTATTGTATATTGTTATAAGTATATAGCTTTTTATAGTCACGATACAGATGAAATACTTCTGATGTTACTTTAAATTTTACCTCACTCACTCGCAGATGTGTCCTTGGCTTCAGTAACTATAATGTTAGTTTTCACTTAAAGCTAATATTATACACTGTTATTTAGAGATTTATAACAGTTTTTTAGCTTTGTAATGAAAATTACAAGTGTCAGAACATTCTTGAGATGCCACAGAAGAGCAAACCATTTGGCTTCTGATGGATACCAAACGAATGTTTTCAGCTTCCATTTGGCCACTTTAAGTTATAATCACTAGATTGCAGATTTTTATCCCACCGGCATGTAATGCGGTGGGATATAGTCGTCGCCTCGTCCGTCCGTCCGTCCGTAATCATTTTGTCGGAGCATAACTCAAAGACCGTTCGATATTTTTTAACCAAAATTGGTAGATATGTCAAACATAACCTAAGGTGGTGCCTTTTGCTATTTACAGATTATTGTCATTTTTTTTTTTCTCGGTTTCCACTGGATTGCAGATTTTTTAGGGACATTAAGGGTTTTATAGTTTGTTTAGATGGGATGATTATGTGTCTTAGAAGCAGGACAAAAGACTTTGAATTCCATTCTCAGCCACTGAAAGTATAGTAATGGTAAGCTATCAAACTTTTACATACGTGCATGTTACATTGCAAACAATATTCCCCATTCATGTTGTGTTTGTTTCAAGCAGCTCCTGGACCTCCAGCAGGCTTAATTGGTGGCGTTGCAGGTGGAGTTGCTGGTGTACTGATACTTGTGGTGATAGTAGTCGTGGTGATGATTGTTCGGCGCAGAGGAAAAAGAGGTAAAGATAATACGATTATGTGAATGGGTGATCAGACGTTCACATCACACAATAAAGATGGTTATTATCACTGACATTAATTTTGACCAGTTTGTTTTGAAAATAATACGGTTGAAAATATGTTTGTTGTTTATTCATTATTGAGATTTTGATAGTTTTACATATTTAACTTAAGAATAGTTTTAATGAAATTTAGTGTCTCATAGGCTGCATGCCATATGAGGATGTTTGGTATTAGAATATCGGCATGTGCCCTGTGATAAGTTAGTATTTGTTCTTCTTCTTTTGTGTAAACAATATGCTTTGTCAAAGTTACAGTAACTGCAAATAGATATATCTTTTATCAGTACAAAACCATTGATGTGATCAATAACAGCTCAGGCTAATATCACATACTCACATTCATACCTACCCTTTTCTTTCCCTCATACATGAAATCAATTAAAATTTTCAAACATGTAATAATTCTGTCATTGAGAAAATAGAAACTTATAATGATTTAGATAAGTTATTTAGCTAAGCGGGGGATATAGCATTAGGCTCCCGTCGGTACGTACGTATGAATTGGAATATCTTAAGAACCGTTCACTAAATTCTTTTCATATTTGGTACCTAAGTTCATCACAGTATAAGAAAAGCCCACGAGGGGACTTTAACGTTTTACCTGCATGTTAAGTTATCTCAAGAACCCTTCACTGGATTGTCCTCATATTCAACCCCAAGCTGTATCTAGGGAAGGCACAGGGCCCAGTAAATTTTGGTGACCTTCACTTAATTTTCAAGGTCACAGAGACACTTTGAAGATTTTAGCATGTTAACCTACATGTTATGCTTGTCAGCGAGATACCTCAAGAACCATTCACTGGAGTTTCTTCATATTTGACACCAAGCTTTATCCAGAGAAGGCGCAGGGCCCAGTCGCTTTTGGTGACCTTCACTTAATTTTCAAGGTCACAGAGACACTTTGAAGATTTCAGCATGTTAAATTGCATGTTGAGATAGTCAGCAAGATATCGCAAAAAAAATTCACTGGATTTTCTTCATATTTGACACCAGGCTTCATCTAGGGAAGGCCTAGGGCCCAGTCAATTTTGTTGAACTTCACATAATTTTTAGGGTCACGACGACACGACTAGGATTTCAGCATGTTAACCTGAATTGTCAGCAAGATATTTCAAGAACTGTTCACTGGATTTTCTTCATAGACTTTCAAGACTTCCCTTGAATGTTTTTCAATAAGCAATTTCTTTAGTACTAGTTTTACATATTTCATACACTATGACATTCATGTCAAGGTCAAAGTCAGTCTTGAAAATATGAATGTGTTTGAACAACTAAAGAGCAAGATATCAAGAGGGGTTGACTGGTCATGTTTTTTGTTGACATTTAACTTCATATTAAACTTTCATTACTTTATATAAGTTTGATTTGATAATTTGTGGTGGGGGAGTATGTCACCTTAGTGATAATGCTTGTTTCAATTTCAAAGTCAGCCCTGTTGATAGAAAATGCATTCAATGGTACAGATATCCACATACCTGTTAAATGACTTGAAACTAATATGTACATGGCACACGACCACCCTCATTCAGTAATGAAAAAAGGAGTAGATGAGCATGTGCAAGGCAGTCAAACGTCACTACCTCAAATAACCAAACTTCTAAATGCATCCGTACTCTTATATATTGGATGATTTTAAAGATTTTATGGTGTGAGAATTTATGGATATGCTAAGATAGCTATGGTTTTATTTTAAAGGTCACATGCAACCAAAAAATCAAACATAATTAAAACACAATTATCACTTCTTCATGACATATAATATGCATTGCTGATTATGAAAAAACATATAAACAAAATTATAAGCGTATTTATTCGCAAATCAAAAGTGCAATGTTTTGTACTTGGGTTTACCTTCCTTGAAACGAAGCAGCCGGGATACCGAACCCAGTCAAAGCGGGTGGGTGTGCACTCAAGTGTAACGGCTGGTTCATTAACAGATGCCGCCTTCACGGCTCACTGTGTGTATATATATAGAGAGATGTTGGGTTTTGTAAATACATGCTCATTTTTTGTGTATCACAATTTGCAGTCAACAGACATCATAACATGCCATGTGTTCAAGTATCACACCTGCCTGTCTGTGTAATTACATAATTTGACAGAGACCGAACTCGGGCCATAAATCAATGCATTTTGTTTATGGTGTATAGCCTGATTGGTGTTAAGTTCAAATTACATGTGGTCAGTGATCGCAGTTGTGTATTGAATATTGTCATTAGCAGACAAGCAGGCAGACACACAGGTGTCATTAAAACAAGACATTGAGTTTTGTCTGTGACAACGACATATCTATATCACAGTTAGAAATTGTGTCAACGCTAAATAATGACATTGCTTTTAAGTATCAAACTGAGAAAGTGACTCGGTAAGAAGAACGTGTGGTGAAATAGACAATTGAAATTATATACTAGTAAACAGTTTATTTACTGTCATAACATATAAAAAAGCTCGAGCCTGTGAGATATCAACAAAATATTATGAAAATAGCTCACACCAAAGCCTTCACCAGACAGCCAGCTTCCAAGTTGCGCGAACCTATTTCACTGCACATGTGCTATGAGCGCAGCCCAGCTGTTGAAACACGTATTCCCCAGAAAAGTCTGGGGAAAATTAGTGAAACGTTTGAACTCTGATTTCGCGCGTTTTTTTTCATCGCGTTATTTTTCAACTTTATATGTTGAATTTGCATTTTTGATGATTTGTTTCGGGTAAGTCCATACCGAAAGTTATCAGAATCTGCAAAGTTGTGTTTTACGTTGCATGTGACCTTTAAGTTAGAAGTCCTATCAAGTAAAAATCCTTTTGTGATGAACCACAAGGCATCTGAAGGGAGGCACTTACTGCTTATAAACTTTGCTGTCATAAGTTCACAAATGTGTTTTTTAAGGATATATTGAATATATTATTTCTGATGCATGGATATTAAAAACAGTTTCTGTGTTGTGTGAACGATATGCTGATAAGAATATTAAAACAATAATGGCAAATCAAATGGCATGTGATATGACACAATCCTTAAATGCATTTCATTTACTTGCATTTCAGGTGAAGATACTGAAAGAATTACGTAAGTGTTTATCAAAAAGAATTTGTAGAAGCTTGAGTTATGAAGAACTTAATTTGTGTTGGAACCATATGGCACTATGGCAAATAAAGAACAAATTGTTTGTTTCAATGAAACCTTATACATGTCATCCGTATCACCCGTGTCTCACATTGACATTTAGTATAAGCTGAAAGTCATTTTTAAAGTGTATATATCCCATTTCAATTAAATGCCTTTTTCAGAAAATATGTTTTAATTCTTAATTATGCATGGAGCATTATGATTATTAATATATGTTCTCAAAGTGGTCTCATACATCCAGAGTGGTTGTAAATATATTTTAAAGTTAGAGAAATAGAACTTTCTGAAGGCATTGACCAGTTAAACGCGCTTGACAATTATGCCTCAGAAATATTTGTAAGTATTCTGAAGGTGAACACAGTATGCCCGATTGCCATGTATCAATGTTTAGAGTGAGTGAGTGAGTTTAGTTTTACACCGCACTCAGCAATATTCCAGCTGTATGGAGGCGGTCTATAAATAATCAAGTCTGGACCAGACAATCCAGTGATCAACAGCATGAGCATCGATCTGCGCAGTTGGGAACCGATGACATGTGTCAACCAAGCTAGCGAGCCTGACCACCCGATCCCGTTAGTCGCCTCTTACGACAAGCATGGGTTACTGAAGATCCATTCTAACCCGGACCTTCACTGGTCACAATGTTCAGAAACGTCTTGATTGTTACTCATGATAAATTGTAAGCTGGCATACATCTTGTCGACTGAAATATGGATGGGCTTTATCTAAATCATTGTACTTTTCTTACAGGTCGAAAAGGCAGGGGAAAGGATACAAACGACAAACTAGGTATTCCTTTGTCTCTTTCATTTCTCTCAAATCCATGTAAAGTACTTCTCAAAGTTTGGTAAGGATCTGGATTTGTTAAAAAAGTCAATCCATCTGACAAAGGTAAGTAGTCGTGTTCGCAATTAACGAATGCACTTCTGCCCCTTCAGCATTATTTGACCACTAAAGAATTAGGCAGACAATTTGATCAGCTGCCCAGCAGGTGGATTGACAGCATTCCACCAGCCCAGGGGAAGACAAGTTTCTACTGAAGCAAGAGACCATCACTTTGAGAGTGCTACCACTCTCAGAAATGACCTGCAGAATGCGACAGTAAGATCTGTACTAAGCACATATACTGAATGAGCTTAACTAAATTATTGTGGCAAGGAGGATAGAAGCACAATACACAGCCACCAGTACCAATTACTTTGGTATAGGAACAACATATACTAGTAGATGTGTTATCTATTGAATTGAAATCCTAACTGGATTCCATGATATACCAACTTTGATCTCCCAAAACTCTTCAGGGGATGGAGATTGATGATATGCTTGTTTGGTTGTTGTCAACGTGGCAGTAAACAATCCAATGAACAGTCAGTAGACATTAATATTCATCAGTATTCTGTAGTAGGAATAAAGCTGAAAACCTCTATTTTGTCTAATTTTTCCTTATCTTGACTCATGCTCTTTTGCTTGTCTTCTTCTTCTTGCGAACTTAGTGGAACACTTGTATCTCCCTAATTGAAGCTCCCTTCAATGTAAAATCACTAATTAGTACTCACCAAGAGTTGCTCCCCTTTCCCGATTGCGCGGGAAAGACGGCGCCACCTCTTCCCACATGCTTCACTCTCTCCTTCTTTGCCCAGTGAGCAAGATGTGAGAGCGCCTGTGTCTCCCTACGGCACTATATTCTTTGATTATTTTTATTTAATTACCTCTACAAATCCCTTATAGAGGTTTACCTAGTATCCTTCAACAATATGTTTTGATAATTATTCGTATTTACTGCTGTTTATTCACGGGACGCCGTGATTGTTCAGTAGTTTACGTTGATGAAAATCTGTACTGTTTGCAGGTTACGTTTTTTCTGCTGCTGATCCGCATTTAATATGCCCTAGCTGTACTGTATCATGTTCATTATTTCACGTTGCAGTTGCTGTAACAATTTATCTAACAAATATTTACTTTGTGTTTTGAGACGCGCAGCAGATAGGCATGGTTATGCGGCTGAATTCTGCTGTCGGATGATCCCCTCCCCGTCTGGTGTTCAACTGGAGCTCCAAGAAGCGATCTGCATCACCAGACATCCCGTCATCGCAGTCTAGACTAAGAGGGCATCTACATTTCAGCGCAGAATCCGCACCCCCAGGGCAGCGTCTACCACCAAGGGGAAGCCAGCGCAGACCGCACGAACTTTCTCAGCCGAGATTGTTCCCGTCGCAGAACAGGGCAGCCGCTCATCATTCCCGAGGTTCATCTCAAGAGACGACCGGTATCAGCTACAGTGATGTCAGGGCAGATCCAGAATCAGCCCGATGTATCAACGCTGATGACTGATGATCTTCCCATGGGTCCCTTCACCACCAACGCAGATAGGGCAGCGTCTACAACTTTGCAGACGATGTATAGACAGCATCCTCTACCCAGAGAAGGCTACTCACCCCTTAGATGACGACAATTCTACGGGGACGTCTGCGCAGACTACAAGAAGTTTCTCTGCCGAGATTGTTCTGTTGACGGTACAGGGACTCTCCGATGATCAGCCGATCATCTTCCCAGAGGTTCATCACAAGTAACGACCAGTCACCTTCGGTGACTTCAGCGCAGATCTCCACGGTACCCGAGGTATCTACGATGACAACAGATGAACGGGCTGTAGACCATGTCGCTATCAATGCAGAAAGGGCAGCGCTACTACCACCGCAGACCTTCAAACTGGGGGACGTTATGCAGAAGATGATCACCTTTACGGCCTGGAGAAGAAGTCACAGCCCACAACGAGCCTTCGCGAAGGTTCCAACGCAGACGTCGTCACCGAGGGACCCTTCATCAACGTGACATCTGGCAGCAGATCTTCACTACAGACCAGCCTAGCGAAGGTCGACTCAACCATCCCCTGCGGCGGACACGGACGATCAGCATTCACGAAGGCGTTCGCGAAGGAGGAATCGCCATCCCCGGATACAGAATCGGACCACCAGCGTTCGCGAAGGCTTTCGCAAAGGACCAGTTGACATTCCCCAGATGTGGAATCAGCGTTCGCGAATGCATTCGCGAAGAAGAAAGAATCAGACGACCAGCGTTCGCGAAGGACCAGTCGCCATCCCCCAGATGCGGAATCAGCGTTTGCGAAGGCATTCGCCAAGGAGAATTCTTCCAACCCTGGATACAGAATTAGACGGCCAGCGTTCGCGAAGGCATTCGCGAAGGACCAGTCGCCACTCTCCAAGTACGGACTCAGATGAGCCTTCGCGAAGGCCTTCGTGAAGGACGTCAGCTACAGTTTACAAGACAACTTTGTCCTATAGATCGTCGAGGGATTCACTAGGACCTACAAGCACAGTTCATCGGGCTATTCACCACGTCGATCTCCTCGCCGATTTCCACCAGGTCTCCAGCGAAGCAGAGACATCGCAGTACTTCGTCTATCAACTGTACGCCACATGCCATCTACAAGCCTGCGCGAAGGCATTTACACAGGCCATCTACAACGCAGAAATGCCACAGTATTTACATTATCAACAGAACGCTACATGTCATCACTGAGCCTGCGCACAGACATCCACAAGGCAAGAGACGTCGCAGTACAGAACGTTACTTATAGTGTACGCGAAGGACGGCGCTATCTTCAGAGACTGTCAACAGATGAAGAGCGCAATAAAGAATCAAAATGCTTTGTTTTGATTGGACCACGAGGGACAACGCCCTGCGCATAGGTCGGACGTAGTTCACAGATCAAGTGAGTGAGTGAGTTTAGTTTTACGCCGCACTCAGCAATATTCCAGCTATATGGCTGCAGTCTGTAAATAATCGAGTCTGGACCAGACAATCCAGTGATCAACAGCATGAGCATCGATCTGCGCAATTGGGAACCGATGACATGTGTCAACCAAGTCAGCGAAACTGACCACCCGATCCCCTTAGTCGCCTCTTACGACAAGATAGTCGCCGTTTTATGGCAAGCACATGGGTTGCTGAAGACCTATTCTACCCCGGATCTTCACGGGTCCACAGATCAAGAAATGGCTTACAAGTGACAACAACATGTCAGTGAGCGAGCAACGCCTCCATTACAGTCCAGTTAGACTGGACCTTCTTGATTTGGCGGCCTTCATGGGGTTAGAGACCTCCCCTGTCAAATTAAAGACGAGGGCACGGCAGCCAGGCGATTTTTACATAAAGTTTCAACGATGGCAGTCACAGAGTCGGCCATCGCTTCATTTCCTTGCAGACACGGTAAGGGTGTCAAGATCGTAGGACATAGATACAAGTTCTTGTATCTCAAGCACTACTCTCTCCGTTTTTACTACGAAGTGGCAGAAACTGTGGGGGTTTTGCACGTCAGCACAAGACATGAAATGCAAAGAGAATTATAATTACGCCCACTACTGGTCTTCATGAATGTACAACCGGACGATCCAGACAGATTATAACCCATATCAATATATGGTGAACTCCGTGTGAGGAGGGTTGCAGACGCACCTAATTAGCGGAGTTGCAGTACAAGACGCATCTCTATGGGGACGCATCTCTCCTAGAGTGGGAGCACACCTTGACAACAATATGTCAGCTGTGATATGGACCATAGCAGACACAATCTGCACTTCCATAGGCTGGAAATGAAAGCAGTGATAAACGCCAAACTCCACCGGATCAGCTTTCTTATAAATGCTCATCTAACGGTACACACAGTCACCTCCACAGTGACGGTCTACATTCACAGAAGGATCAACAAAGTTGGCGAACCTTCTGGACCTCTGCTTTCAGTTGATCAGCATAACAGTCAAACTGATTGTCCATAGCAGAATACGCCACATTCCAAGAACCAAGAATGTGTTAGCAGTACACTATCGTGTCCAACGCAGCCATTCTCAACAGACTGGATGCTACATTCAGAGATCTTCAAACAGATCATATAAGAGATGGTTGAACCTTGAAGAGATCTCTTCCCCACAAGGTTCAACTGATAACACAGGGGGCAACGGACATGCGAAGCATCTCCTGCCTAGGTCTTAAACACTTACGTGTTCTCCACCAGCTCTAATACCTAGGGTATTGCAGAAATCAGTCAGACGAGAGACCAACAACTATTTGGGGCACGCCTTTTGACCAGCGAGAATAGGAATTTCCTATTCTCATACAAGACCTAGGACTGCTTCTACTGCAACTACCAGAGTGTACGAATCTACTAGTTCATCCTCACACAAAATAAGCGCACGAAAACCCAGAAGCATTCCAACTTCACGTATGGACTGTATTAAAGCGTGTTTAAACAAGAGGTTACTCAGCCAGAGCGGCGAAAGCAGTCACGCTTGCTTTACACAATGCTACACGCAACTTGTATCGTGACAAGTGACACAGTTTTGAGATATACACTGCTAAAAATGGATTTACAGCTAGAAATGCTACACATCCTCAATTGGCAGACTACCTTTGTCACCTACGACAAACTAAACGTCTAAAAGGGTCGACACTGTCAACATATCTCGCAGCACTAAGTTCAGTGATAACTATGAGGACGGGTGCCAAGCTAATGAAAACACCAGAGTTACTGGCCTTGCTTCGTTCATTCCGATTGGAGGATCAGAAACAGAGGTTTCGCGCTCCAGCATGGGATCTAAATATAGTGTTCCAACACCTCACAAGTGAGGCTTATGAACCACTGGAATCAACATCGTTCGAATTTCTGACGCAAAAAACACTGTTCCTGCTATCCCTAGCAATGGCAGCCAGGATGTCAGAAATACACTCTCTAGATTACGAGAGATCACGTTTCGATGACAATCAAAACACAG